CTGGAAGACTTTGGGCTTGTGATGTCAATTGTTGTTTTTATGTTTATTCATGTTTGTTTATGTAATGCAGGGATTCCCAAAGTTTTTTGTCATCCAAACCCCTTTGACATGAAATATTTACTTGAAATATCTCTGAGGAAGTAATATTTCAATAATTTAACAATACATTCACATGTTTACAGTTCAATGACTCTTAATAGTCACATTGACATGCAGGTAAACAAATAATTTATTTTCTATTTTTAGTGTTCAAGTGTTTAAATCATTTATTTTGAATTTTTATGATTTGATCAATGAAATGAAAAGTGTAGTGTGACCGACCCTTCCCATAAAACAGGAACAATTTCTTCAACATGTCAACACAGAGAAAATAAACTGTTTTTCATGGGGTGTTTATATTGTTTTGTTTGCATCTCTTGCCTTCTTCTGCTGACTCTCCTCCTCTATAGGAACAGTGTTGTGAGTCCTGTGGTCTCCTTCAGTGCAGGACAGACACACACTCGTCTGATCATCTCTGCAGAACAGCTCCAGAGGTCTCTCGTGTTTCTGGCATATATAATCCTCCAGATTTTCCACAGCGTTGATCAGTTTGTGTTTCTTTAGACGTGGGACTCTGTGATGAGGCTCCAGGTGAGTCTCACAGTAAGAGCTTTGACACGTCAGGCAGGACTTCACAGCTTTCTGCTTTCTTCCATCACAGATGTCACACAACACCTCAGATCTTCCTCGATTGAGCTTCTCCTTAAAGTGCTGCACAACCTCTCTGAGTGTTGTATTAATCTTGAGATCAGGTATTTTTCTGAACTTTCTTTTACAGAATGGACAGAAGCAGGTCTGTGTGTTTGTCCAGCACTTGTTCAGGCAGGTTCTGCAGAAGTTGTGTCCACATGGAGTGCTGACTGGATCAGTGAACACATCCAGACAGATGGAGCACTGGAGCTCCTCATTTAGTGGACCGCTGGAGGATGCCATGACTGAAAAAGAGTAGGTAATGACAATATATCAACTACATTGCTGAACAGAGCAATTTTGATAATGTTAATGATGTGATCCGAGTCGAGTTTGTATATGGATGTTATGTTTTAAAAAATTATTAACTAACTAAAAACTTTTCTAACAATGTAAATGATGAACTACTGTTAATATCAGAGTCAAAGCAGCCATAGAGAAATATGTGGCACTGGTTTCTGACTTGAATTTAAGACAGAGTTGATGAATGTCAGTCTCACTGAGCCTAAGCTCCGCCCCTAACTTCCTGTCTGAGACTGCTGGTCTGGTGTTTCTGATGACCCTGTGGCACTGCAATGGGATATTATTGGGTGGTAGTAGAAGAAAGTAAATAAAGACACTAAATACATTTTTACAACAAGTTTTAAAACAATAATTTAATAATAGGCCTATCACAAAAACGCATTTTATATATGAAAGACAAGACAGAAAAAAGGAAGTGTAATATTTCAAACATATACCCCACTAAACAAACACATGCATACACCAGATGTCATTTTTGTTTAACAGAGTTATGATTTTCACTTCACTCTGTCGGAAGTTCAAGTACTTCCTGTTTCTGCTGTCTCTAAACTGACAGCACACTTGAAACTTTGATTTACAGTCACTCAATTGGCGGACATACTTTTACTAACACTCTGATACTGCTTTATGCTATAAACTACCGAACAATTTTTTTCATTTCCATCACTTACCTGTGAGTGAATATCAGATCTGATAGTTAATTTTCGAGTTTCTGAATAGAAATTTTCTTGTTTGACGAAGCTTCCTGTTAATCTGTTAAGTTTCACTTTCACTGTGCAGACCGATCCGCAAGAGTTTCTGTTTACAGTCGGGGGCGGAATTGAAAGCGGAGATGTGAAGTCGGACACTTTCTGAAGTGAATTAAATGCAATAATATTTGTCAAATACACAGACGTTTCAGAGATATTTTCATGAAGCAACAGAAACACTTTTCATGAACTGTTTAATACACCACAAAATTAATGTACAAGAATAAATATAAATATTAATGGGTCAATATATAGCTACTTTTATCAGTGTTATTTGATAAACATGACTCAATATAACATTGAGACTACAAGAAAAGAGCTTTACTGTTATAAAAACCCAGATTTGTGAGCATTAGTGGAACTGAAGGTGTCAGAATAAGCGTGAAACAGCCATGTCGTCATCAGAGCTCCTGTAGCCGCTCTGGAGAAGCTTCGTCGGCTGAGGCCCTGTACCAAATGGCACACTTCATGTGTTCTTGCACTCTTGTAGACTTGTGCTCATGAGCGCCACCTTTGTGGCCGCTATGCGCTCTTGATGCGCACTGCTGCTGTGCCCGCACTGAGGTGAGCTCCGCAGCAGACTTTTATCCGACAGTCAAAGCGGCATTACGTCACGAAAGTGTGGACTCAGGAAGATCACATGGGTTTAAGGTGTGATTTGGGCGCTGTGTCAAGTCAAACAAAATTTCTAACTGGCATGCACTGCATCAAGTCAGCTACCAATCAGTCTGCGCAGCGCTGCATTAAGTCAAACACACCTTTTCACTCACCTGCAGTAATGTCATACTCTAGCTCTGCCCATAATCATGAATATGAAACCGTTTCTAATTCAATCCTGCTGAGTGTGTAAACTGTAAGAAACCTGTAGAGTATTTGTTTCGTTTTGGCTAGTCCCTTTTTAGAAACTGCACACACTGAATATGTTTTAAAGGGAAATCTTTATGGGTCTCTTATAACGATAAAACAATCAAATACATAAAGGCTTTTGAAAAATAGCAAATTTACATTATTTAGTAAACTGATTTCCCCTCTCTAATAATACATATATACAGGGGCGATTCTAGGATTTTTTCAACTGGGGGGCACAAGAGGGGCCACAACTAATACAGAGGGGCCAATCTTATATTGTGTATTTATATGTAGAACTGTAGATATCTGAATCATTTAAAGTTCAGTAAGCTTTAAAATCAGCAATAAACAGAGATACCTTATCAATTAATAGCATTTATTCACTGCTGTAAATCAGAACAGTCAAATACAATTTGTATGAACTTTTCACGTTTAAGAAGTGAAAAACTGTAATAAAAGAATCCAATCTATGAATAGAGTGCAACTCACAAAAATAATAAAACTCAACATTAAGTTATATAAACTTTACACAAATCCTCACAACAAGGGCAAAACAAAAAGTCCAGGTTTCAGAAAATAATAGAACAGCTTTATTTATACAAATGCAGAGTTCTATTAATCATTCATATAATAAATACACAATTAAGGAATTAACAACTTTATAAATTAAATAGAATAATAAAAAATAGTTTATTTATAGTTTTATTCACATCCTAGTAATTTTTAAATTGATATTCTGATCATATTTTTCCAAGCACATTTTACCAGTAACTACTATTAATTTTGTTTAATCATTTATAAGTGATACATAATTGTCCATGAAAGCTGGAAGTGAAAATCTCTTTATATTCAGGTGTGCAGAATTATTAGGCAATTTTTCTTTTACAGATAAAATGAGCCAAAAAAGAGATTCAACTCAGACTGAAAAGTCAAAAATGATTAAATGCCTATGAGAAGGATGCAATACTAGAATTTTCAAAGTTAAGGCATGACGGTTGGACGGCTAAATGTCAAAAACATGTGGAGAAGAAAAGATGCATGTTAACTGGAAAATAATTAGGAATTAAGGTGAAGAATTAGGTGTGAAATCACCAGGAACCATTTAGTCTCCAGCACCATCATTTTCCAGAACTGCAACCTTCCTGGAGTCTCCAGAAGTGCAATGTGTCAGATTCTCAGAGACTTAAAAAATGACCCTGAGTTAAGAATAACAAGCGGAAGTGTTGTGAAATACACGAAGATTGTTTTTTTTATAGGCTTTATGGACAGATAAGTTGAGAGTAACTCTTGAAGGACCAGCACCACATCCTCTTGTACCACTGTTTGAAGAATTTATCTTCCAGAATCTGCCAGTACATTTTGGGAGTTCATTTGTCCTCAATCTCTGCAAGACAGACTTTTCAGGATAAGAGATGGACTAAAAATGAACTCCCAAAACTTACTGGCAGATTCTGGAAGACAAATTCTTGAAAGAGTGGTATAAGAGGATGTGGTGCTGGTCCTTCACGAGTCACTCTCAACTTATCTGTCCATAAAGCCTATACAAAAATTAAAAAAATTCAGTCTTCATGTATTTCACATCACTTCCAGTTTTACAAATGAGGATATCCACAAATTGAGGTTTTTGCCGATTTTGTCAGGTTTTGCTCACTTTTGGGTACAAATTTGTCCCCAAAATATGGTTAAGTACACACACACACATATTATTCCACCCAATCAGCTTATCTTCGTAAAATGGAACGGCTTCTTAACTCTCAAGTGCTCAGTCAGCGTGTTTATCGAGTGAAAATCTGTGTTGAACGCCTCTCACACACATACTGGCATGTAAAATCTAAGAATTTATTAGCCAATGGCTAATGTTAGACATTATTTAGTCGCCCAGAGTAAGATTTAATCGTATATGCGAGTGGTTGCAAGGTCCAGCTCGGTTCAGTTTAAAGTGTCTGTGCAGTCAAGTCGACGATATCTCTGGAAATTAAGTGTCCTCGAATTGTGAGGAATGTTTGTCCATACTGTATATAATAAAAGTCAATGGTGATCAAAATAGAGCTTGATTTGTTTTCCACTGCCTTTCATTACAGTGGACAAAAGCATTTTCTTTTTCTTTTCTTTGTTTCATGGAAGAAAGGAAATCATGAAGGTTAGGAATAACATGAGGAAGAGTAAATGATGACAGAAACTAAATATGTGTGAAAGGTTTAAAGCACTAAGTTTCTAAACGAAACGTTAAATTTGACATTGGTCACATTATTGAAACTACAAAACGTGCTATTAATGATTATTAACAAGGTTTATAAAACACAAGCTACACATACAAAATATCTTAATAATCTCTAGATATTAGTCAAATAATCCATAAGAAACAGATGCATACCCATACATGTGGTTAACGAAGTTCGAGGTCAAGCTCGGGTTGCAAATTGTGCATACCCCAAAATTTGTTTGTAGATTCTCTCTACGTTACCCCTATATATTGTTCTGTGTTTGCACAGCGTCATGCAGCCGCATAGATCTGACCAGAGGCCTCTGTGGCTTGCATTTTGTATAAGCTATTGTCGCAAAGTTAAAAAAAATTTTTTTGTTTTGTTTAATTATAATTCTTATAAAGTCATATCGAGTCAAGCGATATTTAATTTAGAGTTCTCAAATCAAAGTCAAGTTATTAGAAATCTTTAAATTCGCAAGTGCAGTCACGTAACGTTAACTCAAGACAGGAAAACCCTGATTGTGTTAATTATTTATTATGCATTACATTCAGGCACAGAGCATTCTGATTATTATCTTGGTCTAGGAACTAACATCAAACCTGGTCTGTCCTAACACTGAAAGACGGTACCAAAATCTAGCGCTGCAACAACTCGCTAATTGAAAAATAATAATAAGGAACAGGGACGCGGAAGTAACTTAGGGGTGCTGAGGGGGCTGCAGCACCCCCTGTTTTCACATGGTTGCAAATGTGACGGCAAGTTTGTTCATTTAAATTTATTCAGTTTTAGCATTTAAAAATGTATTTGTAATGATCTCTGAAATGTAAATTGTAAGTCGGCCATAACAAACCCATGTTTATCTTTATAAACATGATTAATTTTACTTGTGATGTTTTCTATATGGGATGATTAGCCTAATCCTCATGAACACGTGACGCTGGCGTGTGGTATCAGACATGAACAATACAGAATGCGAACAAGATTAACTTTAATACAAGAAAGTACCGATACATCACTTAAAATGTACTCAAGTAAAAGTAAAAGTACACAATTTTTAAACTACTCAAAAAAGTACAATTACTGATAAAAACTACTTAATTACTGTAACGTGAGTATTTGTAATTCGTTACTTCACACCACTGAAGAGCACCATCTTGCAATATCACAGCGTGCGACATCACGGGGGTTGGTTTGCTCCGTAGGCTAGTGAAGTAATATAAGCATTTCTTTACCTTTTGAACACACACTTGTTTTGAAATGGAGCAAGGCGAACTTGAAAGGACTGTTGAGCCCATAATAAGTGCAATTGCTTATGCATTTGAGCCGATACGTCGAGGGGAAGGCGAACAGTACTAACGTTAAGGGTGAAAGAAGTCGTGAACCTGCTTGTAATATGCTCATCTGCGGGTGATTGCATTTTAGCATCAGTTTCCATAGTTGCTCGAGCTCACGTGCCGTAAACCCGCACATTTCTTTTTTTTAAACATGTCCGCCTCACGAGTTCATGGATAGGCATAGCTTTGAAAGCTGAGATGATGTCGACTTTTGCCAGCCAAGTGCTAAGACCCATGATTTTTTTTTTCTTTCATATTGATTGCATGATCAATGTCCTCCTATTGAGAGAGAGAATTTATCAAGAGCAATCGAGGTGATTATGCTTGAAAACGGAGAGTTATGCGGAGCTGACAGAAGGTGTTTCTTACCCCAGAATTTTCCTAGTAGCCACTCCAATGGGCTAATGCAAAACTGAGAAGGCGGGGCATCGAAAGGGCTGATCATGAACCCTTGTTTAATTCTCACCGCCTATGGGGGAAAGCTGAACAGATTATCTCAGTGAAATGGCTGAATGTAATGAAAATTCAGAAAAATGGCAACTTTTGATGTCCACATTCAAGGATTTACGATTGCTGTAGCATTTCTGTCGTAAAGAAATGTCCAAAT